TTCATCTTCCATTCTCGGGACCAAATGGCTGACTTTCTCTGTAGCTTCTGGGCTCAAGCCTCCCAGACCACCATACCCCTTCCACCCCTTTGTCTTTGAAGATTGCGTCCACATGCCTCATCCCTTTAGCTAATTAACATTCTCTGAAGTGGGCAGTACATTAAAGCAGCTGAGACTGCTGCTGTGGTCCAGAGAGGACTGATTGGGATGACCGAGACGAAGACAGAGCCGAACCACAATGTTTTTGTTTGATTGAGTTCCAGGCCTGTTTTGACCCCTGGTATAATGAAAATAGCTGCATTTATCCAAGGCCACTACTAGCCCATGCGGAATCATTGTGCAAATTTGAAAAAAGTTCTCCTTTTCCTGGTGGGCACAGCCCCATGCCAGGGCATGCTGCTTGGTGAGCAGAGTGTGGTCTGAATTTCACTTACTGCCTTGGACACACTCCCCGTGGGCAGTGAACAGCCTGCACGACATGTAGGGTATCCCTGCGTTTATTGCTTTCTTTCTGTGTGCCAGACTGTTCTCTCAGCAACCCCATAAGGTAGGTCTGTAAGAATCCCCAGTTCACCATTAAGGAAATCGAGGCAGAGAGGTTCAGTGACTTGCCTGAAGTTCCCCGGGTCCGACCCCCCATCCCTAGAGCTGTACCAAGTGGGGAGATGTGGCTTCCAGGTTGGCCAATTGAGATGGGGCTAGCAGGGTTATCTTCTCCTTTTCTCTCCCCCGACAGACATGGCTGGGCAGCTGCCCCTGGGACCCCACCTCCAGGACCTCTTCACTGGCCACCGATTTTCCCGGCCTGTGCGCCAGGGCTCCGTGGAGCCTGAGAGCGACTGCTCGCAGACAGTGTCCCCAGAGACCCTGTGCTCCAGTCTGTGCAGCCTGGAGGACGGGTTGCTGGGCTCCCCGGCCCACCTGGCCTCCCAGCTGCTGGGTGAAGAGCTGCTTCTTGCCAAACTGCCCCCCAGCCGGGAAAGTGCCTTCCGCAGCCTGGGCCCCTTGGAGGCCCAGGACTCGCCCTATAACTCGCCCCTCACAGAGTCCTGCCTTTCCCCCGCCGAGGTGGAGCCCGCCCCCTGCGAGGACTGCCAGCCGCTCTGCCCACCGGTGGGCAGCTGGGAACGCCAGCGGCAAGCCTCTGACGTGGCTTCTTCTGGGGTGGTGTCCTTGGGAGGAGGATGAGGTGGAGCCAGAGGAACAGTGACACAGATCATGCCTGGCGGTGGCACAGCCGCTGTGCCCAGTTGTGGGCTTGAGGCTTCCAGCAGAGCTCCAAAGCCTGGGGGGCTCCTGGGAGCACTTACTCCTCATTGTGTGTTTTGCATGAAAGTGTCTAGAGAGGAGGCAGGGACCAGGCTGGGGGCGCATGTCCAGCCCCCACTCCTGGGGCTTGCCGGGGGTTGCCCGGGGCCCCTGGGGCATGGCTACAGCAGTGGCAGAGTGATGTTCATGTTCTTAAATCAAAAACGCCACATATTTCCTCCTCTGATGATGTGAACCTCTGAGGGGGCAGTTATGACTGGGCTACGTGGGATAGAATGGGAGGGAGCCCGGCCTCCCCTGCCCCTCCCCCCGCCTCTCTCCTCTGCTTCTCTCCTCACCTCCAAGTCCGTGTACCGTGCTTGATAGAATCACCCCCACCCAGGGAGCCTACGGATCGAGCCGTCCCCCAGGTCCCTTTCCCAGCTGGGCTCATCCTGTGCTACACCTCTCCATTGTCTCTAAATCTTTTTTGTAAAGAAAGAGGGGTTTTGGTCTGTTCTTTCAGTCGGATCTTCTCTGGGAGGCATTGGAATGATGAAAGCGTGCACCCCCACCCTTTTCCTGGCCGCCCTGAAGGGGTCTGGGCCCTTTCCCAGTCCCTTGTAGGATGTGTGGGCAGGGCCCCGGTGGCTCCCAGCCCACCAGGTTGCTGTAGGGTGGAGTTGGAAGAGGACAGGGCTCTGGTTGCTACAGAGCCGTGACTTCGATGTTCTTCCAGAGAGGGCCACCAGGGGGCCACACGGGTGGCCCTGAGCAGGGCAGGAATTGTGCCAACCGGTGACAGTCTTGAGGGAGTGCCTCTCCTTGGGGAGGAAGGAGGGCAGTGCCTTTTTGGCTGAAGGAAAGGCCGAAGCTACAGTACTGGGGGCAGCCAGGGTGTTGATGGCCAAGCAGTGGAGGCCTCTGCAGATCCTACACTCCATGGACAGCAGGCTCTGGAGTTTTATGGCCATGGGGTGTAGGTGGCTAGATTTCAGGCCTTGTGGGCTTTGGCAGGTAAGAGGGCCCAAGGTAAGAACACGAGCTGATGGGCACAGGCATTCTCTATATAAGTGGCTCATTAGGTGTTTATTTTGTTCTATTTAAGAATTTGTTTTATTAAATTAATATAAAAATCTTTGTAAATCTCTATATACATCTGGTCATTGGAGGTTCCAGTATAAACCCATCTTAGTTCTACCCCGTTCCCCCTCAAAGGGGCAGCAGGGGTCAGGTACCCCGCCCCATCCCCATCCCGCCAGGGCAGTGCTGATCTTCCTGCCCTTGGAACACTGCAGGTGGGTGCTGTGTCAAGATTCCAAGCAGAGGAACTGGAAGAGGCTGGTGCCCCTGGTCTGGACGGGGGGCTGGGGCCCCAACCTTTGGCTGTAGCTGCCTCCTGCTTTCCCACGGCAGAAGGGACAGGAGAGCTGTAGGATCCGGGCTGACAGCAAGGCCACTGCCACCCCAGGCTGCCTGCTGAGGAATTCACTGGCACTTGTCGTCGCTGTCAGAAGGGCTGCCCTCCCCAGGGAGGCTGTGGCGGGAGCGGGGCCCCCAGAGTGCATGCACCTCTGTCGTCTCTGTGTCGCTGCTGCTGGTGGCACTGTCACGGAAGCTGGCGAGGGGCGGCCGGACTTTCACGCCCTGTGCTGTGACAGAGCCCTCAATAGCCTTCCGGAGCTGGAAAGGTGAAAGGGTCAGTCTGGGCTCCCTGCTCGTACTCTCCAGCCCTTCCCCCCAGGTGAGCTGGGCATAAGCTTCCATGCCTTTTTGGAAGTGGAAGTGGCTTTGACAGCCACTATCACCTTACCTCCTTTAGGGTAACGATCCCAATGAGTCTGCCAATACTGGTGACGTAAGCATGGTCCACTCCCAGGAGTGAGAAGATGGTGTGAGTCTACAGGGTGGGGAGAAGAACATTGGACTTTATGCACAAGGGGAGAGGGGCCCAAGAGGAGGTGTTGGGTTGGGGGCAGGATAGAGGGGGTGCTACAGATGGTGGGGGAGGGGGAAGGCCAAAGTGTAATGAGATTGTACAACCAATCTTCAGAAACTTGATAGAATCTTTAAGTGGATGAGAAACAGGAAGGAATCTTCATCCCATGTTAGCAAGGAGAATGGAGGAGAGAACAACTGTTCAAATATGACACCTAATGATTGGCCAGGCACCTGGCTAAGTCTTACATTAATCAGTGTTTAATTTCAGCACAGTCCTGAGAAGTCTGACACCCATTCTGCAGGACAGGCAGCATGAGGCTCAGTGGTGCAGTGACTTGCTGGGTGGGGGTCATCAGTAAGAAGTGGCCCAGCAGCTCCAGGCCACTTTTCAGTACACTCACAGTGGTTCTCAACCTTCTGGCCCTTTAAATACAGTTCCTCATGTTGTGACCCCCAACCATAAAATTATTTTCGTTGCTACTTCATAATTGTAATTTTGCTACTATTATAAATCATAATGTAAATATCTGATATGCAGGATGGTCTTAGACAACCCCTGTGAAAGGGTCGTTCGACCCCCAAAGGGGTCGCGACCCACAGGTTGAGAACCGCTGCTCTAGGAGGAGGCACTGCCTAGTGGGCCTAGGCGGATGTCCCATTAGTCATGGATATATCCAGGAGGAAAGTTCCACACCCCCCTTAGGGGCACTGGCCCTGAATCCTGTTCCTCTTACCCCACCTGGGTGGCTGACACATGCTTCCCCTTTGCCCTCAGCTGGCTGAACATGTAAGGTATCCCTCACCCTGGCTCCGACCCCCCCAATATTGGCCTGCCGCACTCTATATGTCTCTCACAGTTTGCCTTTTCTGGGGCCCAAAGCATCCCAGGTCTTGTTGACATGTAGCTTACAGTCCAAGGGCCAAGAGTATCCCCCAACCCCCATGTTTTTTTTGCTTTGGACCCTTCCCCCAAGCTTTCCAGTGTAATCAGCCAGGGTTCAGAAATTGTCAGCTAGCTCCCCTTGTGCTCCAAGTGGATTTTCTTGGGCCAGATGTCTTGAAAAAACACTCTACTGACTCAGCAGTTCCTGGAATTTTGGGCCTATCAGTTATCACACTGTTTATAGTTTACTGGTAAGCCTCTTGGCTTAATGCTCGAGTTGAAATGGGCATTACTACCCCAGCTTCTTGAGTACCAGCTACTCAGAAATCATTGTAATGATCTTAACACTTTAAAAATGTTTTCTTATACAGCTGCTGAATTCTTTAGGAAAGAACTTCCTGAACTTTCCTAACTTCCTCCTTCTAAGGCATGACAGTACTTATAAAAGGAGGTGGAAGTGCAGTTTTAGCTTAAGTTTTTCTGTGCTCCTTTAATACCTATGTCATAACTGTCATTGTTTAGCAAGTCCCTTGAATCCTACATGGTACACGTTATCTTTAATTTCCTCATCTGATTTCATTGGGAAACATATCGTAATAAGATTTCCTGTATTGTCCTGCTGGTGTGGCTCAGTGGTTGAGCGTCAACCTATGAACCAGGAGGTCATGGTTTCGATTCCCGGTCAGGGCACATGTCTGGGGTTGCGGGCTCGATCCTCAGTGTGGTGTGTGTAGGAGGCAGCCGATCAATGGGTTCTCTCTCATCACTGATACTTCTATTGCTCTCTCTCTCTCCCTTCCTCTCTGAAATAATATATATCCTATCTATACAAGACAAAAAGGGTAATTATCGGTACCTCCACTATGCTTCCCATTGGC